GTTCATCAGGCACATGACAACGCCGTGTTTTTTGTTCGCTGCACTTTGTTTAAATGTCGCCGCGGCTTAATTAATCCTTAATGGCACTTCAGATTAGGCCCATAACTCCAGCGACGTCCCTTCTAGAAGTTTTTCTTTTCCCGAGGGCACAATTCACGAGAGCCGGATGTTGGTGCTACGAAACTAGTACTTTAAGTACGAAGCTTCACAGGTTGTGTATGTGGCTCGGCCAAAGAAAAAAGCGAAACAAGCTTTCGAAACTCTTTAGATCAGGTGCTTTACGTGCTCTTCAGCGTTGTACGAGCTCGCAAGCCCTTGTGTACCTGGGCAGGAGACCAGTGAATGAAAAATTTAAAGAAAACCGATACAATAGATGCAACAAACGCTGAGTTGTCCAACATTCACGTAAAGGCGCCTGGAGCACAACTTCTCAACGAATTGAGCATGTTTGACAGCTTGTCAGCTTTCCGTCCCTGAGATTCAGGTAGCAGATGTGGTTCCCACATTTGTGACTGGCAATCCAGAATCCATCCATATGATTAGATCTTCACCTAAGAATCCATCAAAACTTAAAGTCATCCCCTAAGACAAGTTTAGCTCATCAAGAGGAAAGAACAGCGCTTAGTCGGACTCCGCCCATGCAGTCATCCTGGACTGCGCTTTTAAGCTAAGCTTAATTATCAAGTGCAACACCTCTAATGTCAATATGTCACATCTGTCTGCAGAACCTCAGCTGTATTGCATCAGCTGAGTTCCTTAGTTGAAATCGAAAAAATAAACTTCAAAACGTTATTCATTCCGATCTAACTAAACGTTCGCTAGATAAGATGTTAGTCCTTATCAGCAAAATTTCAGGCGTTATTCGCCTACTCGACTGGTACAGTATCCCAGAAGGATACCTAATTGTCATGGAACGACCGTATCCGTGTGTCGACATGTTCGATTTCATCAAAGGACAGCAAAAGCTCGACGAAGAGGTAATTGGGTAATTTTTCATATGTTGGTCAACCCTATGCCTCATTCCGACCCATCGAAGGTAACAAATCGTGTTCACCTAATGGGAGCGAATCGCAGTAATAGGCGCTATTCCGCTACCTGAAGTATTTTGTAAAATGCTCGTCTTTGTTTCGCCTCCTGCAAAAAAGGAACCTTCCCTCCTTCTCGCCTACTGGTGTACTGGGTGGGTGTCAGCAAAATTGCATACGCCAGGCCGGACAATTTTGCGCGACCAGCATGGAAGCGGAGATGAGCGCTATCCCATACAAGCAAGGCGCGATCTAGCCGGTCTTGGAAAGCTGCTAGAACTAGATGGCTTGGGTAGAGTACAGTTGATGTGGTAGGGATCCGACGGAGGCAGTTGTCGGAGCAACAGAATGAGTCGCACCCGCGCAGCTGGCGCTTTTCTGTCAATAGCGGATAAGATTATCAAATTGGGAAGATGCCAAGTACAGATTGCACGAGGGTATAGCACAGCCAAAGGGCGCTATTCTCTCACCCCCCAACCCTGTTATCCGCAATCTGAGAGACTCTATGAAACCTACTTGAGGTAACTTTAACCCACAGAGTTAATTATCACCGAGTAGCAAATATCTTTTCAGATGGCTCGTTTCCTATTCCGGCAAATTGTTCAAACACTGCATGAGTGTTCACAGAAACGTGTCCTGCATCGGGATTTGAAGGTGAGCAACTTGGCATCCCTCAGCGTTTTCTGCTCACCTCTCTTTCAAAATCTAGTCCCGAAGAAGATTTTTGAACTGTGCCTTTGAAAATTGTTTAAAAATGACAACGTGATTGTTTAGTGTCAAACTCCCGGGCAACTTATTCCCTCCCGCACTCTTCTACGGCAAGGGGTTTTGGTCACTTGAACCCATTTCTAAAGATGTGCTACAGCAAGGTAAGGTGCAGCTCAAGGAACATCCAACACGCATCGTAATCTTCCTTGCCTGCTTGCTTGTATCTACCAAAACGATGAAGCTGCCCACCTCAGTGACGAACTCCAAGTATCCAACTGGGTTCAATAAAAAAAATCAAAATTACGTTGCGATAGAAAGCAAAGGCAAAAGCTCTGGTTGCCTTGGTAAGCGCCTACATTGGACACATCCCAGATCAGTGTTCACAGAACCCGAGGATTCTCATTTTTGGCAAAAAATTCTGTAAATATTCAAAAGACCTTTCATTAACGTAGTCCTTTCCCCGAATGGGTATAATCCTGTAGCAAAGGACCGAGTTAAACGCAGTACCGTACTATAAGTATAAATATCTGTTGAAAGGACCAGTTAAAACCAGTACGGTCACGGAAATGAATAGCGCCATGAATATGATATCACAGGGTTTCTTCCAGAATGATTCTCAACAAGAAGGTCTCGAAGGCACCCACTATGGTGATTACGTATAGAATCACCAGGTCAAATGCACTCATCTCTTTAACGGTCCCCTCCATATTGGGATGGGAAGGAGTGGGAGTGCACCAATTAGGAAACTTCAAGTGTGTATGCAACTCCGCCCATACTGCCGGCACGGAACTTTTCCTATGAGAACCTTAAAATTGTGTCTTTTGAAATACAGTGGCTTGCGCCACCTCCGTTTTCCATAGGACCTTCAGGGTGATAAGCACACTGCACGGTTGATTATATGGTGGGTTGTATCAGGTAACTTATAGGTGAGGCTGTTAAGAGGGATAAACGGTTCGTACACCACGAAGAGAAGGTAAACAAAGGCCGAGTTCAAAGGGAGAATACCATCTTACTGTACGCCCAAACGCTCGTGGGTGAAGGTCAGGCAGAAGTTGGGAGATGCGCTTCTTAGAAGGTTTTGACCAAGTCGATGGCATACTTCTGCAACTTTGCGTATCGCCATGCGGTGCTATTTCCCAACCTTTGCTCCCTTTTGCGGCTACTGCTGTCTTCCAGCTTCTTTACAACCTTTCTTATGACACAAAGGGGAAGCAAACCCATTTCTCAACGAAAAAAGCTTGTTTATGCATTTGGTAATGCAGTTTGTCATTCGGTCACACTTACGTGCAAGAGCTGCTGTTTCCAGGACGAGAATGTGGTCATCGATCTTGTTACCGGTGACACAAAGCTCATCGATTTTGGTGCCGCTACCGTACTCAAGAAATCACACTATACCGACTTTCAAGGTGAGACCAATGTGAATTTATTTTGACAACTACCACCACTTTTACACTTTCAATGAAGCGTCAACTGTTTCCTGCGCCTCGTATTTGGCTTCCACCTAGCCCTGCAGAGTCAGCTCAATGCGTGCTTGCCCTATAAAATGCAGCGGCACTGTTCAGAACAGCGTTTTCATACGTCGTGGAAAATAGTTGAACGTGACCTGATCTAGACTTGTGACAAAGTGTTAACACGTTTTCATCACTGCCCCTACCCTCCCACCCTTAAAACTGACAAGGAATACATCAAGGTACTGTAAAAAGGCCTACATTACAACGAGCAATGCTGGCAATAAATTATGGTTGCGCTGAAGTGATAGGTGAGATTTTCAAAGAAATCTTCTCTTGTCCCCTGCCATAGCGACTCTCACGTTTCGTTGACATGAATGTAATTTCTCACGTAATCGATTTTTTAAGGGTCTTGCAAATTTTTGGACTTGCGATGAAAATTTATAAGTCAGGACCAAGAGTATTAAGACAAAATCCGATGGGTGACTGGTTTAACTGGTTTACCCTCCTGTTTGGTTCCTGGTTGACATCTGATCCTTTGATTCTGGAACACTTGTTATATTCGCTTCATGCTTTGTGCCTCATTTTATGAGCCCTCCTCCGACTACTCAACGGGGAAATTTTTGCAAAACACGACCCTAACTACCACTTCGCCGATTTGGTTTCACCTTGCTACCACCGCCCATGGCCATTTAGGAGTTTTTTTTTAAAGTTTTATGGTTTTTTTCGGTGAGGGGAGAGGG